ATGCTTGGCAACTGGCATGTATTTATGGCTGCACTGCTTGGGGTCATGTGATCACCTTTTGTGACCTTCTGACAAGCAAAGGCAATGGGGAACAACCAGGCCCAGGTTATCCTATCTTGGACACATTATACAAAGATACAGTCCTCTCAAGACGTCTATAATCCTGAGAAAGGTGGAAGGAAATTGGAGAAGTCAACCAGCACAAGATGAATGGGCTTGTTTATGGGTTCGCCATTGGAAGATCAGATTGGGGAAGCAAACACTAACGCAAGTTTATCTTTGAGTAGTGCAAAATTCTATGTGTTTGCTGCAATAAATCACAAGCTGGGCAAGCCACAAACTAGAGGATGTTTTAGTCCAACTTCTCCTGTAAATATGGTTAGTTTGTGGTTTAGATGAATCCAGAAAAGAGAGCCAGTCTAGCAACCATCATGGCTGAATTGCTAATTGTTAGCTCTAACTTGATGATCTATAATCATTGATTTAGCAATGGTAAATCCAATTACTGGCATAATTAAACGGTGTGTGTGTGAGATGAAGCATATCTCCTATACAGCTTCTCTTCCGTTGGGCCTAACTAGATGCAAGTTACCACATGCCATCTGAATATTTTCTTTGCGTGCTGTGCATAAAAACACTACCTTTGTTTTAACTGGAACCGTTGCCAAAAACATTGAGCTAAATTGTACAAACATGAAAAGTGGGTATTTAGTTCCATAAAAAGAATAATATAAAAAGCCTGACTGAGCTTGTTCGTGATCTTAGGAATGTGAGCCTGACATTTAAAAAAAAAATAAGCGAACCTCGGATGGATTATTGTTTAAGCATGCGACCTACAACAATATACATAACTGTATTTTCCAAGGGAAGAAATGTATAAAGCAAAATGAAATAAGCAGCCCAATATGTTAAAAATGGAAAAATAACAAATTGTTACCAAACTCTTAGCTTAATTAACAACATTTGGTTTCTGGATCAACAAAGGTTTCTATTTTAAGCTTTGTTTCACTGAGCCAACAGAAATATATTCTACAACATACATGAAAATATAAAATGAAATATATATATATTCAGACAAACTGGAATATTATAAACGCATCACCAATATTTCCTATTATATTTTTGGGGTTGTACCTTAATCTAAACCAGAGGTCGCCAACCTTTTGGACCTCAGGGACCACCAAACTCATAATTTTAAATCCCGTGGATCAAAGTCCCTGGGAAAATCCAAAAAAAAGTCTGCAGAAAAATTCCCCACCCCGTTTTCCTACCAATCGATCATTCTGGGATCACAGGATACCAGGATCGCAGGATCTCCAGCTCTGTTCTCGGGGGGGGGGGGGGGGGGAGAGACTTTTGGCTTCATGCAAGGAAAGCAGCAGAAGTCTTTCTTTCTCTCCCCCAAACTTCGCCAGAAATGAGTCTTTGTGAGACTTGTCACACCGCCGCAGCCTCTTGGAGCAGGAGGCCTTGCAGGGTCCCAAATATTCATTTCTGGCAGAGTTTGGGGGAGAGAAAGAAAGACCTTTGCTGCTTTCCTTGTGTGCAGTCAAAAGCAGAAGAAAGAAGTGGAAAGAAGCAGCCTGGTGTCCTGGCAAGATGTGTGGGGTGAGTGGGGCAAGTTCCCCCTCTCCCCTTTCCCCCTCCCCTCACTACCTCAATGCAAGTGACTCAAGCCTTGTGTTCCCACAGGCCATGTGGGTGGTGCAGCCTTGTGTTCCCACACAGCCTGGATTAATTGCTTTGTGGTGTGCTTTGTGGGTGACATTTCTCTGCAGACTACCAAAATTTTCTTGCGGACCACCAGTGGTCCCCGGTCCACTGGTTGGCAACCACTGACCATGGTCAACCTCTTTCTGGTTTAGTATATTGGTTCCAACATCACACTAGGGTTTTCATTTTTTCACTTAAAGACAATTTCCTGGGCAAAGCAAAATCAATTAGATTCATCTTCTGCACTATGGGGACAACTAAAAACAGATTGATCTAACAGGTAAAGTCAAAGCTAAACAATGCATATTGTATGGTTGGTTGTGTTTAGTTTAATTTTTTTTCTTTTTAGTGGTGTTTGTCCAGTTTTTACTTTGTGGAAGAGCACCTCATTTCGTTGCACCCGCTTGCGAGTGTAATGACAAAATAAATTCTTATGTCTCTTATGTCTCTTATGTTATGTTGGTTTTTTTGTGTGTGTTTGGGAAACTATGTTGGTCATCAACCAAATACCGACTACACAGTTGGGCACACATTGTTGTACTTTGAACGTGGGGCTTCTGAGTTTTGCGATAATTGTCTTCGAACTATGCCCTGATAAGCATATGACACCAAATGTTAGCTTTGATTATTTTCTCCGAGTGTGACGTCTGGGGCTTAACCATGCTTAATATTAACAATGAACAAGGTATTTCTCTGAACTCCAACAGCTATCATAGTAAATATTTGATCGGTGATAATTTTCTGGTCACTTCCCATAATCTTGGCCTGTATTCTAATTACAGAGTCAGATTTCAGAATCTGAGGCCATTTAGATCGTAGATTGGCTATAGTTGATTACTTGATTAGTCTTATAACCATATAAAAATAATAAAAGTAAAATGCAGGATCCAATTCCAGGATTTGAATTTTAGGTCATAAGAGTCAGTTGTCTGGATAGACCAAATCAGGAAATCAATTCCCAAGATAAGAACTATCTTGAGATCAAATCAAATGTTGCAGCTTGATTGTGTGAAAAAAATGAAAATCCTAACGTGATGTGGGAACCAAGTCTTATTCACACATTATATATACTCTTTTCCTTCTTTTCAAACACCACAGGATCAAACACCACAGGGCAGCAGCCTGAATCTCTTCTGAATACTACTTCCCTTCTCAGGACTTAAGATACGTTTTTCTCCTTTGGCTGCATAATGATTTTTCAATATTTGCTTTAAAGCCATCTCTCTGGGTAATAATAGGAATCCCAAAAGCATCCGAACACAGGACTTGAAGTGGGGCCTGATCAAAATAAGAAAATTCCTTCCTGGAAATGACCTTTTTGTCGATGCAACTTAAACATTTCTATTTTTTTGCAGTCACATCATGCTGCTGGTGGATGTGACTGGGTTTTGCATTCATGTCACAAGAAAAAGCAACGATGCCACAGATCTTCCTGTTTGAATGAGATACTCTTGTTTTTATTCTCCCTTCCCTTTTTAACAGAGCCATTGTATATTTTTAACGTATTGTATTTTATTGTTACAGTTTTGTCATGTCATTTTTAATAACCTTAGAGATGGTTACAAGGGAGCCTGTGTAACAACATATTCAATAAGTAACAAAGTCTAAATCAATAAATCGATAAAGGCTATTGGGATAAAAAGAATGGAATGAAGATTCTTGATGTTCTGGGTTCAGATATCATCTGATATTGAAGCATGGATGACATAATGTGTCATTTGGGTTCAAACGTGAATCATGTTGTAGTTTTACTGATTATGGTTATTACTTATGAAAAGTAGGCCTTCTTCCTCCTTTTGTTTCCTTCCTTGATACACCAATCGCCACACAATTTCATAGAAACAGTGAAACACATTTTAATGTCTCACACACTTTTGTTTACATTTTCCTTGAGCAAAGCCTCTACTGTATGTGTGTGTGTACACATACGCACACAAATACATTCCTTTGCTGGAATAATGCATCACTCACCCAGCGAAACAACGTGTTTTGCAAACACTAACCTTAGTTTATCTTTTAAGTAGTGCTTTATTAGCTTCTCCAGTCAAATATGGCTAGTTTATGGTTTAATGTCAGATGAAGCCAGAAAACAGAGTCAGTCTAATAACCGGGTAAGTTAATCCTGGATTTGTGAAAACAGAGCCACTGAGATGAACCGTACCTAAATTGATCATTTGATCAAGTTGGTTATTTTCAATGAGAAAGTTGGGTGGATTCAGTGGAAAAACACTGAGACTCAAAGGAATCTATTCATTTGCATATCTCTGAAAGCTGTTCCTTCATCCTTGGGGACAATTCAGGCAGTCCCTTAATTCTTCCTTATTTGTCAACGAAGCCTGATTAAGGCGAGTCACAATTCAGTACAGCTAAGCTTGCACAATGTATATAGTTGTGGTCAACAGAACCGAAGTTTGCCAAATTACTCCAACCGTCTCCATTCTGCAGAAAACACTGAATCATCCATCCTTTTCCCCATCAGGGGCTGGCTTAAATAAGACCAGAAATCTCCAAGCTTGGCAACTTTAACACTTGTGGACTTCAACTCCCAGAATTTTTAATTCTGAAGAATTCTGGGAGTTGAAGTCCACAAGTCTTAAAGTTGCCAAGTTTGGGGGACCCCTGAACTAGACTAAAACCAAAAGTAAACCAGACTCTGGAGCGGATCAGAGGGAGGACTGGAGACATAGCAAAAAAAAAAAAAAAACCTTAGCTGATAACTTTTGCGGCTCAATTCCGCTGCGGTCTCCAACGCGGCCGACGACGCCCTAAAAAAACTTGCGAAGGATCGCAACTCCAAAATCCCCGCAAAGCCCGAGGTCTCACACCCCACCGTATTTTCTATCTGCAGCGTTTCCACCGAACTCATTCTCTTCCGCTAACGGTTGCAACTCGCGGCATCTTCGGCTGGGGAGTCTTGCAACGTTCGGGGAACCTGTTTCCACGTGCAAAACCGCCTTTGGGGTTTGTTTTGTTTTTTGCAATTTTCATTCAATGTCTGGCTCCGTTGGGAGGGGTGGCTTTGGGGAGAGGAGAGGAACGCCCCCGCCTGCTCCTTCTCCCGCTTGCACACGCGCGCGCAAACATACACTCACACACATCCACAAATCCCAGAGCGAAGACACGCGTCATCTTTGCTCGGGGAGCATTCCGGGAGATGTAGTTTCCTCTCCTCCCTCCTCTGCAACGGCGGTCCCGGGGAACTACAAGCCCCACCAGGCAGCGCATCTTCGGCTAGTGCAATCCTCCACGGCCAGCTGTGGGGAGAGGGCCCGCCTACCCGGGCGGTTCCGCGTCCAGCAGGCGTGGTGGTGCTGGCGCCCAATGGGGTTTTTTTCCCCCTAGAGCCGGCTTTCGCCGCTGAGTCGTTTGCAAAGGCAGCCAGGCCGGTCGCTCATTGGAGAGCTCCGTGGGGCGCAAGTCCAGGCAGCGCCGCCTCTGCCCCCCACCCCACCCCTTTTTTTTTGCATGCTGAGGGGGCCGAGGCTGGAAGAAGCATCGGAGCCATTCGGACGTACGCTTGCTTAGCTCTGCTTGTCTGCTTTTGCAAGCGGAGATCTTCTCTGCTTCTCTCAGGACGCTGGTGCGGGTGAGATGTGGGGCGGAGAGCGCCTTTGCAGCGCTGGGCTGGGGTGGGGGGTGGGGGGAGAGGGGAAGGTGGCTTCTCCTCCTCCCCCCTCCCCATCCCCGGTTTAATCTTCTCAGCTATAGGAGAACCTTTGAAGCTGGCGTTCAAATAGCAATAGCCCTTAGACTTATACACCGCTCCATGTTGCTCTACTGCTTCCTGTAAGCGGGTTTACAGAGTCAGCCTATGCCCCCCCCCCCCCCGCCCCAAACAATCTGGGTCCTCATTTTACCCACTTCGGAAGGATGGAAGGCTGAGTCCACCTGGAGCCAGTCGGGATTGAACTGCTGGCTGTGGGCAGAGCCTGCAATACTGCACTCTAACCATTGTACCAGGAAGGAAGGAAGGAAATAGCACTTAGACTTATCTGCCGCTTCACAGTACTTTAGAGCCCTCTAAGCGGTAGCCAGCCAGCCTCTTGCCCCCCCCCCCCCCAAGCAATCTGGGTCCTCATTTTACCCAGCTGGGAAGAATGGAAGGCTGAGTCCACCTGGAGCCGGTCAGGATCGAACTCGTCAGCAAGAAACGAGGTGGCCTCGGTGCTTTCTGAGCTCGCCTGGATTGCCTGCAAGACGTTTCAAGACCCCAACTGAATAACAGCCTCGGGACTGGCTCGTAACCTTCTCCTTTTCTTGTCTCCTTTTTTCTGAAAGGCACCATGCATCGCTTGTCGGGGCTGAGCAGGGAAGCCGCTGCTGTCGCCGCCACCGCCACTCCCCCTCGCCTCCCCGAGCGCCGAGCCGAGGCCGTGCGCTTCCTCGCCTGGCTGGCCACCGGCAAAGAGCCGCGCCACCGACGGCCGCTCAATGCCCAGCGCAGCGTCGCCCGGCCCCCGATGGGGACGGAGCGGCCAGCCCGGCTGGGGCTGGGCCTGGGGCTGGCTGGCTGGAGCAGCGCCGCCGCCGAAGCCCCCGCGCTGCAGCTGAAAGAGAAGGCGCCCCGCGAGAAGATCCTCACGTTGGAATCCATGAACCCGCAGGTCAAGGCGGTGGAGTACGCGGTGCGGGGGCCCATCGTGCTGAAAGCGGGCGAGATCGAGAAGGAGCTGCGGAAGGTAGCTGGCTGGTTGGCTGGGCATCTTATTCTTGGGGATGAGGCTCTGATTTTGGGGGGGGGTGGTGGTGGAGAGGTTTGAGAGTTCCGGACAAGGTTTCCACGGGTGGGGTGGGGAGGGGTTGGTGGTTGTATGCAACGCAGGGTTGTTGGAAGAGCCCCGCATCACCGCATTCACACGATACGCGAGTACCGCTCCTTGCAAAACTGCAGTAGCCGAGCGCACCTGGGCTTTTAGGACACTATACTTGGAAACGACCTCTCCCCCCCCCCCCCCCAGCCCTGGCGCGGTATAAAGACGGCTGGGCTGCCCATCCTGTATTGCCTTCTGGTGGGCAACACCCGCGGGACCCCGACTTGAAGCCCCCCTCCACTCCCCAGACGTGCATCGCGTGGGGAAGAGTGTCGTCTTGGCTGCCATCACCACCACCCCCAGCCACTCCTCCGCCGCTGCGGTTCTTGATTGGGGCAGGCGAAGCAGGTTGGCCGGTCGGCCTGCCTGAGAGGCAGCCAGCATGCGGGAAGGAGGGAGGCGAGCCGGGAAAACGCCCCTGGCCTCGAACCCTTGGCCAGAGTCGTTGGACAGGCTCTTGCAGGCACTGGGATCTGGGACTGAGGCTCTTTTATAGGCCACGACCCACACCCTTCTCTGTGTTTGGGGGACTGAGCCCGGCTCTGCATCCAAAGATCATAAAATTAGAAACAATTAAAAAGCAACTAAGATGGTTTAGCTTGAACGGTATGAAGAACGGTTGCAGGAATTGGGGATGGCCAGTCTAGGGGGGGGGGAGGCTTAGGGTGGTACATGATAGCAGTATTCCAGTACTTGAGGGGCTGCCCCAAAGAAGAGGGAATCAAGCTATTCTCCAAAGCACCTGAGGGCAGGACAAGAAACAATGGATGACAACTAATCAAGGAGAGAAGCAACCTGGAATTAAGGAGAAACTTCCTAACAGTGAGGACAATTAACCAGTGGAACAGCTTGCCACCAGAAGTTGTAAGGCAACTTGACAGTTTGAAGACTTGGGGACTTCCACTCCCAGAATTCCTCCTCCAGTCATGTTAGCTCAGGAATTCTGGGAGTTGAAGTCCACAAGTCTTCAAGCTGTCAAGTTTGAAGACCCCCATTGTAGGGGCTTCATCCCTGAAGGTTTTTAAGAGACTGGCCAGCCACCTGTCTGAAAAGGTATAGGGTCTCGTGGTTGAGCTAGAAGACTTCCAAGGTCTCTTTCATTGCTATTCTGATTGATCCTATGCCAGGATAAAGTACAGGTAGTCTTTGCCCTTAAGTCTTGTTTGGTTAAATAAGCCCGGTATCCTGGCTTCTCCCATTAATTTTCTGGCATTTATTTAAGGGGAGATACCCAAGAAGGCTCCGTTTTTTGCTTTTGGACATGTCTGTCTGTCCTTTGAGTTGGAACTTGAGGAGAGAATAGAAAAGAAGCAAGAGGGATGAGTAAATGGAAAGAGGCAGTCAACTCAAACATGGCCCAGCCTTGTAATAGAGTGGAGGTGTTTTTTTTCAGTTTTCTTGTCCTGTAATATTTTTGCTAGGCAATTACGCAGGATTCGTTCTTTGAGAATAAAAAATCAAGAGAAAAGCAAACAGCCACCTCCCATCTTCTGGATCAGATATTTGCATAAAAAGTTTTCTTGTCCTGTAATATTTTTGCTAGGCAATTACGCAGGATTCGTTCTTTGAGAATAAACACTCAAGAGAAAAGCAAACAGCCACCTCCCATCTTCTGGATCAGATACTTGCATAAAAACACAGTTGCATATTCCGTAGATATTTACTTTCCTTCTGATGCAATCTCAGGTTTCCTTGGCCTTATGTAACAATAGATAACTAGTTTATACTTTAGATCTTGTTTCAATGAAAAGTTAACCCTGGAGGGTAGACATTATTATTTCTTCTTTTTCTTTCTTTCCTCCTCCTCCTCCTCCTCCTCCTCCTCCTCCTCCTCCTCCTCCTCCTCCTCCTCCTCCTCCTCCTCCTCCTCCTTCTTCTTCTTCTCCTTCTCCTCCTTCTTCTCCTCCTCCTCCTCCTCCTCCTCCTCCTCCTCCTCCTCCTCCTCCTCCTTTCTTCTTCCTCCTCCTCCTTCCTTCTCCCCTTCTCCTTTCTTCTCTCCTTCTCTCCTTTCTTCTCTCCTTTTCCTTCCCCATCTGTGGCTTTTGCCCTTAAGTGTATTTTGCTTGGCTCTGTTAATGGAGAGGGTTTTAAAACTTGTTTCTTTTACAAATAATTAATTTCAATGCATCGTTTTCTCTACCCTGGTTGAAGATACTGGTAACCTTTTAAGCCAAATAACTTACGATTCACCGAGAACCTCGGAAACATGTCTGTAGCTCTTTAAACCATTAATAGGAATTTATTTATCCTCTTTATCTTATAGAAGATGTCCCAGGTGGTTTTGTGCCCTGCAGATAATATTGAAAGCCGGTTTCCATAATAAGACAGTTGCAATCTATACATCTGCAGAGCACTGAGTGGAAAAAGGTAGTAAACCAGCATTAGTGTCCCTAGGGAATTTATTCCTGTATAAGTGTTTCCATTGTGGGTACACCAGGGTTTACATTAACCTCCAGCTGGCTAGATTCACAGACCATAGGTCAAATTCTTGCTGGAAACTAATCAAGGAGAGAAGCAAGCTGGAATTAAGGAGAAACTTCTTAACGGTGAGAACCATTAACCAGTGGAACAGAAGTTGCCTTCAGAAGTTGTGGTTGCTTCGTCACTGGAGGTTTTCAAGAAGAGACTGGACAGCCACTTGTCTGAAATGGTATAGGGTCTCCTGCTTGAGTGGGGGAGCTGGACTAGAAGACCTCAAAAGCCCCTTCCAGCTCTCTTCTCATTGATTGAAAACCAAGGGAGTCATAGAATAGAATAATATTTGTGAACACAGCTATACCCTTATGATTATTTGCAACACCCCTATGACCATGTCATCAGAATTTAGGAACCTGGCAACCAGCTTGTATTTATAATGGTTATAATAAGTGTTGCATGATCATTATTTGCAACCTCACAAGCGAAGTCAGCGAGGAAACTGGAATTCGTTTAACAACCGTGTGATCCACTTAATGTCCCACTCACCTGTACCACTTAGCAACAGAAGCCAGTTGCCATAAGTTGAGGACTGCCTGCCGATGGAGCAGGAATTTGCAACCTTCCCAGGGGGCTTGTGACAATAGGGGAGGATGGATTTCTTTTACAGCCATGTTCTTAATGACTATGGTGGTGCAGTATTCAAATCTCACCAGGCTCAAGGTTGACTCACCCTTCCAAGGGTGGTAAAATGAGGACCCAGATTGTTAGAAGCAATAGGCCGACTCTGTAAATCACTTAGAGAGGACTATAAAGCAGTATATAAGTGTATTGCTCTTCCTTCCTTCCTTCCTTCCTTCCTTCCACAATGGTTAGAATGCAGTACTGCAGGCTGACTCTGCCTACCGCTAGCAGTTCGATCCTGACTTGCTCAAGGTTGACTCAACCTTCTATCCTTCTGAGATCAGTAAAATGTGGACCCAGATTGTTGGGGGCAACAGGCTGACTCTGTAAACTGCTTAGAAAGGGCTGCAAAGCACTGTAAAGTGGTATATAAGTCTAAGTGCTATTATTTCCTTCCTTCCTTCCTTCCTTCCTTGTTGGTACAATGGTTAGAATGCAGTATTGCAGGCTCTGCCCACTGCCAGCAGTTCGATCCTGACTTGCTCAAGGTTGACTCAGCCTTCCATCCTTCCGAGGTGGGTAAAATGAGGACCCAGATTGTTGGGGATAAGAGGCTGACTCTGTAAACTGCTCAGAGAGGACTGTAAAGCGGCATATAAGTGTAAGGGCTAATACTATGGCAAGAATGTCATAAAATCAGGCATGACACACTGAATGACTGCATCACTCAGCAACAGAGGGTCCAGTCCCAATTGTGGATGTCAGTTGAAGATTTCCTGTAAATGCATCAGGAACTGCACTTAGTTCATTTCCTGTGCTTGCCACTCTGCTGTTACCTACCCCCCACAAACACTCACTTAGCTATTGATTGCCCCACTTCTTTCGTTAGTTAACAAGGCCCTGACCCTTCACCTTGGCTTGCTATGTTTGAAGGACTTGTGCCTACAGATAAAGGAGTGTTCAAGCATGTGAATTCCCATCTGTTTGGTTTTAAGACACCTGATTATTGGGCCAGCACTGTTTGAGAGAGAGTTGACTTTAATTCTCTTGAGTTTACTTCGGGCTTCGGTCTTGTGATGCCGTCTTGATATTTATGCGCCAGGAAGAATTAACTTGGCTGAGCATTTTGTTCTAAACTGGATCACCTAATCCAGCAATCTTAATATTGATCAGCAATCATCATTCTGAAGCCTAGAACTTGTTCCCTTGGCAGTCTTTCAGTGCATGGATTACGTTTGAAAGGCAGTCCTTTGGTATTTATTAACCATAGTAATCCAAAGGGATTTTGGTCTTAACTGTTGGTTGGATTTGTGCATCAAGCTAAGCTAACATGCCACTAGATGTCTTGGACTTCATGTGCTGCAGGAACCCAGCTTCTGTGGTTTGCAAACCACGGTTTATGAGTTAACTTGATACCCAAGCCTAGATCATTGTCAGTTATTTCATAAAGGCTGACTTTAAAATGGCTAAACATGATGTGTGAGTGCAAAGTTCCAGAATAAATTACAAAGATGTTCCCCCTTTTTAAAATTCATCTGGCAGGATTGAATGGCTAGCAATCTCTGTTTAGGCTGTCCCTATCTAAGAGCCTCCACATTCCCAGAACTGTGTGTCAGTGTAAAATGAGACTGAGATACCCAAAACCAGCAATTAATGTATTTACAAGAACCTGGAAAAGTACAAATATGAAAAACAAGTTCCAGCAGGAAAATCTTGCTTTCATTTCTTGCTCTGCTGCTCAGCTTCTTCTTTCGATGAAGCTAACATTTTGTGTCAAATATTTTTTGTGTATGTTTCAGCAGTTGGAATCTACAGTTTACACTGGACGC